TCGTTGAGCTCCAGTCACGACTCCCAACTCACTTGCCGGCGAGAGAAGTCCAAGCCTCTCTGCCAAAGGAAAAACTTTTAGCGAGATTGAGATCTGGAGGATGCCTTCCAGAGCCATGAACCGGCTTCGTCGAGCGGCGACTGACGCGACACTGAGCCAGCGGCTGTGGCGGTGTTCTGCACCTCTCTTCCTTCTCCCTTCTTCTGCTCCTCTCCATAGTGGACCGCGTCGACGCCGTGAAGCCGGGAGCTCATCTCCGCTGCGAGCTCGCCACCCCGCCGTCTCGTCCTACATCCGTATCCGCGACCGTGTCGATCTCCGCCGCCGTCCCGACGTCCGCGCCCCGTGATGTCGCCGCGCGAACACCGCCGAACAACCAGGTTCCGACCGCCAACCTCCACGCCTACCTGGACCTCACCGCCGTTTCCGCGGACGACGCCGACGACTCCGAGCACCGGCCACGATGACTTCGGTTCTGCCCGCGACGCCGCGCCATCTTTCCCAGCCTCACGGACCCGAAAGCTGCCACAGACCGCCCACAATGCCAACCAGGAGCTGGTGCCGAACCTCGCAACCGGACACCTACCTCCTCGCCGTCGTACTCCACCGTTGGCTGCGCCACCCTCGTCGACCTGACGCGCCAAATCCCGCCGTCCATGACCTCGTTGCACCCCTGCCTCCACCTCGTCGACGACCCAGGCTCAGCAACGCCGTTGGTGTGGAGTTCTTGATTTCTTCTTGTGGTAGAATAAAGGAAGAAGAAAGAATGAATTTATTGATTTGATTTGAGGAGTTGTTGCCTTATTGAGGTAGACTGATTTGGTGTATGGTATTTGGAACAGGAGTTGTTGTGTAGCCTGATTTGGATCTCCGAGTCGGAGGGAGAGATGCTATATTTGTTATTTATTTTTTTGTTTATAAAAAAAATGGAAACCAAAAAGTCACGTACACAACCTGTGTACCGACGTGGGTTTCGATTGGGAGAAAAATTGTAAGAAACAAAAAAGGAACAAGGAAAACAAACACTCGGACTACACAAAAATAGAAAAAAAAACGATGGTTCTACGATGGCCGAGACCGAGACGTTTTAGGATTTGTAGGTTGGACAAAAAAATATTGGTGGTATTAGGGGGATAGATTTTTTATTTAATATTTATGTTGATTTTAACGAGAGCTACATCTTTCATAGAAAAAATATATTTATTTAACATCATATGGAAATATATGATTTATTCTAAAAATATAAGCTCTTGTGTGTGATTAATATGCCCCTTAAATTTTGCACTCCCTACAGGTTCGAGTCAACATTGGGAATATAAATTATGAATAACTTTTAAGTTATTGAGCTTGAAAATATGAAAACCACATGATTAGATTTATCTTAAAAAATACTTTCATAAAAATATACATATATCATTTTTTAATAAATATTTTTATAAAAATAAGAAGTTAAAATTATGCTTTGGAGACCGTGTCTCTGTCCAAAGCGATTTCTTTTACCAACCTGGAGGGAGTATTATTTTCTTGAGCATCTTAACAATCTCAAATGAAAGACCTCAAAAAAATAGTTTTTTATCTCATCGATAACTATAACTTTGATATAAACAATATATTTATTTAACATTATACAAAAAAAACATATAATTTCCATGAGGCGACAAGCCCTAATACAAAGTAGCTTTTGTGCCTTATAATTTCACTCGCTCAAATGTAAAGTTTCATAGGATGCTATTGCTCAGATTGACATAATACTACCAAAAATCCTATCTTGTATTCGGCCGAAGTCTGTTGGTCTATAACTGAACTACTAATTCACGTTTTGCATCGATACATACATCTGCACTGAATGGAATTATCCAAACATGTATCCAAACTGAAAAAAAAAAAGAAAAGAAATGTCTGCATCACAATTCCCAATCCATTCAGAAGCTCTGGCAGAGTGAAATAGAACGGCATCATGGATGCCACGTTGTGTTATCAATAAACAGCCTATTCGCTTGCTCGTAAACGATCGTAAATTTCTAGCGGGAACAGTGTTTTTCTCTCACACCAAACCAGCCAGCAGTAAATAATTCACGATACGATACGGCCTCCCGAACAGGCTGAAAAACTCACAAATATCATGTTGTGCTATTAGGTTACATGGTGGTACAAGAGTAGTGTTCATGGATTAAGTGGAAAGTCATTGTGCTTGCACTCCATTTGGAGAACTAACAAACACTACAAATGAAGATAACTTATTAATATGCAATATACAAATGATGTATGTGGATCCTTTCAAATGTACCCGGTGACATCATCTACTAATCACAATGTATGTGGTCAAAATGCATCCAATTCATAGTCACATGCCATCGATGCTAAGGAACGTAGGAGGCAACGGGACAGAGCCTAAGAGTAGTGCAGCCTATTCGCTAGGTCATATTTGGCTTATAAACTATAATTTATTAGTTAACGAACAGTATTTTTCTCTCACACCAAACCAGCCAACAGTACTTTCAATCATGGCTTATAAGCCAAACAAGCCCAAACGAACAAAGCGCTAGTCTATCAATCAAAGAAAGAAACGAAAGAAATAAGAAACGTTGTGAAAAAAATGACAAAGGGTTTATCTCTTTCTGGAACATCGGGGCGTTTAGATCTCTTCATTTTGGAGGAATTGAAATCTACGTAATGAATTATGTTATTTGGAGTAGAATTTAATATTCCACAACTTTTCCAACCTCACAAATAAACCTATCTCAAATTTATTGGGTGGAAGATGGAAATAGATTCTATAGATCACTATGCTATAATTCTACTCTCCAGCTTATCGCGCGATCTTCAACCCACTTCTCTACAATAGAAATACAACATATAAGTATATCGTTTGTATGCCTAACAATAAATATACAAATATATTTCATATATAACTATATTAGCTTAATTAATCTATGTCTAAATTATATTTATCAGGATTAATTCAATTCAAGAATTCAAACAGGCCCTGGTAAACGTTGCACAAGAGTATTGACATACTCACATACATGCTATACCTGCATGTTTTATATATGATATGCCACAAAATTAAAGATGTCTGATGCCACAATAAACAAGAAAGATGTGGATCCTATCAGTAACAATGACAACGCACCAGGCTATGCAAACAACGAAATCAATACCTCTAGCACCGACCACCGTGTGACAATGACAACGCTAGAAGACAAGGGTAAGAAAGGACACCTATCTCATCTTCTCTCTCTAAAACGGAGAAATAAATAAATAGTTGGTGGGTGTTCAACGGTAAATAATTGTGATTTTTATAATGAGTAAAGTCCACCAGTGGTCTTCAAACTTGTTCGGTTGAATCATCCTGATCTTTAAACTTACAAATCAACCGTTTAAATCCTCAAACTTGTTCATCTATGTCCCTAAACTCGAAAGTTGCTCGTTTAGGTCTCCAAACATGTTCAGCTATATCATCTCAATCCTGTTTATGTCCTCAGACTTGTTCATTTGTGTCATCATGGTCTCTAAATGTTGTAAACTTATAAAGGGGCCTTAAGGGATGTTTGGATCCAGTGACTAAAATTTGGGAGGTGTCACGTGAGGGTGTCGCATGGGTGTTTGGATACTAATAAAAAAATAAATTACATAATCCGTCAGTACTCCACGAGAAGAATTTATTAAGCCTAATTAATTCGTCATTAGCACATATTTACTGTAGCACAATATTGTCAAATCATGGTCTAATTAGACTTAAAATATTTGTCTCGTAAATTAGTCGTAAATTATGCAATTAGTTTCATAATTAGTCTATATTTAATACTCTATATATATGTCCAATCATCCAATAGTACAGCGACTAAAGTTTAGGAGGCGGAACCAAACACCCCCTTAATCATAGCTGTGTAGCACAACCTGAGAGCGTGGGGCCTTAACCACAGCTGTGCAGCTGAGAGTGTTGTGGCCGCCTTTGTGAGGCACCACGCCGGCCTAAGCGTCCATCAGGGCCTAGCCGTGGCTAGCAACTAGCTTGTTTAGGAAGTGAGGAAGAGAGGGAGGAAATTTAGGATATTAGTTTCAGTTTATTAGAAGGCAAATGTATCAGGTGCAAACCAACTAATCTGTGTAAACTTAGAAACTATTAATTAAGATCACTAGATGATGATCTAATAGATGGAGTGAGACGTGGAATTTTTTGCTCTTAAGCCCCCCACCCGTCAGCCTTTTTTTTTTGCTTAATCCTCCTCACCCCATCCATTAGATTAGCATCTAGTAATCATGATTGATAGTTTATATAGGTGAGTTGATTTACACCTGATATATTGCCTTATTAGAAAAGTACACCGGAGATATAAAGGGCATCTTATATTCATTTGTAACCATCAATGAAGGAATAAACCTCCCCAGGTGGGTGGGTTCACGTGGCACCCACCGCACCATTGCCTCACTACCCCTTGCGTTCCAATTCCCAATCCCAATTGCTCCTCCAACTTTCTGATGTAGCCAAAGGCATTCAAGAAAGCCTCTGGTCTACATTGTCTGATAGAAGGATGCCAGTTTAAGGATCCATAAACAACAAATTAAGTCAAAACATATCTGAAAGACAATTCAGCATATTGATTTTTTATGATTCATGGCGTGAAATCATTATTAACAAGAGATCACAACGTTCCTGCACTGGCAACGTAACAGAATAAACTGGCACTGGCCATGCAGCAGAATAAACTGGCAACAAATTTTTACCCACTAGGGTAGCAGCCTCTGCCCTCTGGACCAAAAGGTAAATTGATTTGCAATTGACAAAACAGCAGCTGCCCAATGGCACCGATAAATGTTTATTAACATGTGACCACAAAGTTTCAGCACTGGCAACGTTTAACAGGAAAACTAGGCCAAAATAACCCCACTTCAAAAAGTTTGCAGTTCACGACTTCTGCTCCAATCCGAAATCCGTAAAAGAGCACTGCTCATCTTGTACCAGTGAAAAAAAGAAACTTCGGATTGATACACTATAGTTATTTGACGGATGCTTTTACAGCTTTCTCTGCCGCATCATCAAGATCTTCTGCAGTGATCAAAGTCAATCCACTTTCCTGCAAAGATAAATATAAATATCACCAATAAACATGTATGTTTTCATACAACAAAGCAGAGTCAGAACATGTAAACTAAGAAGCATGCAACACTATCATCAACAGCTCTAACCTTAAGAATCCTCTTTCCTTGGTCTACATTGGTGCCTTCCAACCGAACAACAACAGGAACCTTCAGGTCAACCTGACAATGAGTGGGAAAATTAACAATAATGTTCTGTACAGGAAAAACCTAAGATAAACATAGCACATATCATAAAAAAATATGATACTTATGAGGTGTTTAGTTTGACAAATAATGTGATCCATCAACGTACCAACTTCTCAGTTCTCACTCAAATTTCTGGTTTGGGGAATGGAATGGATTGATCCATCACCACCTTATCCGTCACAAACACATGGCTAGCTTAATACTCCCTCCATTCCAAATTATAAGTCGTTTTGGCTTTTTCTAGATACATGGCTTTAACTATGTATCTACACATAGTGTATATCTAAGTGCATAGCAAAAGCTATGTATGTATCTAGAAAAGCCAAAATGTATTATAATATGGGATGGAGGGAATAAGAAGGAATGGTTTCATCAACCAAAATTCATGGGATGACACCATGATGGACCATTCCATTCTAGGTGAGGTAATTCCTCAAACCAAACACCCCATTAATAAACATGCTGAAAATGCTAAGAAAATGAATAAGAAAACAAGGGCCATGATGGTGAAGTACCTCCAAATCTAATTAAAAACAGACAAGAAAAACATTACAATATTATCAACACATTTTTATTTAACAGCAACCACTAGCAGAACGTAGACAAGATGATAAAAAATAGAACCAAACTAATCAAGGATCCATGGCAAGGAATACAAACAGCTCCAAAACAGACTTCATTTGGGGTATGTATATTTGTATGTAGTGACCAAATTATATTTGCAAGAAAACCATCCACAATTGATTAGTGACAGTATTACTGTGGAATATCAAGAGGCAGAGAAACAAGGTTGAGATAAATCTCTCTACTATAAGTGGTAAATTTCTAAAAACAGAGACATCCAATTTCAGGGAAATAAAGTCCCTAGCGGTGAGGACAACTATTGCATGAACTGATTCTGTGGGGAAAAAATATGCTAAAATTGTCAGCAACCAATGTTACAAATAAAGCTACAAAAGACTAAAAATGTACCTGTTTAGCAGCATTAACAATTCCACTTGCTATCACGTCACACTTCATAATGCCCCCAAAAATGTTCACTAGAATTGCCTTCACTCTATCATCTGAAGTCAGTATCTTAAAAGCTTCCACAACCTGGATAGAATAGAAATTTTATAAGATATGCAGTGTCAAAGCAAGGCTACAATGCCAAAACTGCATCAGGGTTTAATATGGATCTCAAGGAATTCTATATCATTCAGGTGATAACAAATATTTGCAATGTACTAAGGATAGAAGAGAAGGTCAAATGTTCAAGTAATGCTAAAATGGCATCCAATTTATACCTGCCCCTCTGATGCACTTCCACCAACATCAAGGAAATTGGCAGGCGTACCACCATGCAACTTTATAATATCCATGGTCGCCATGGCCAATCCTGCTCCATTCACCATGCAACCAATCTCTCCATCAAGACCAATATAGTTCAAATCTGCTTTGGCAGCAGCGACCTGTACAGATATTGATTCCGGTGCTGAGATTATATAACCAAAAAAAAAGTACTAGCTAAGAGACAAGTTCTCATCACAAATAAGGTCTAAAAGGAAGAAAAATGTGCAAAAACACATTAGAAGAAAACTTGACACAAGGAGAGAATGAACAATGGGAAAGATAAGCAATTCTATACCTCCCTGGGGTCTTCCTGAGTGGTATCACGCAGTGCAAATATTTCTTTCTGTCTAAATGCAGCATTATCATCAAAGTTCAACTTTGCATCAGCAGCAACAAGCTTGTTGTCAGCAGTCTCCGCCAGAGGATTTATCTACCCACATCAAGCATCCAAATTATAGCGTAATAAGATAAAAACATCAAAATGAGGATCATTTCTCACTGCATACCTCCAGCATTGTGCAATCACACTTGCAGAAAAGTTCATACAGCTTCTTAATCTGTTCTATAGAAGACTGCCTATCCGCTGCCTTCAGGGCTAGACCATCAACAACTTTAGCTGCATCCTCATCTGTGATTCCTTTAAATACATCAATAGGAACCTAACATTCCAATAAATTAAATTTCAACATAGGTAACACAATTTGGATTAGTATCTTGTAAATATGAAACACAACAGAGCCATACAATGAGCCCAAAATAATATTAGGGAACTTAACCTTAATAATCATATCAGGATACTTCTCCGCAAGATCTTCAATACTGGTTCCTCCCTTGCTGCAAGCAATAATGAGCTGAAATGGACAATCAGAAATGAGGATAAGAAGAAAAAAAAACTTGACAAAATATATCATCCATTTCAGAAAGGAGACTGACGATGTGCATTAAGTTACTTAGACTTCGTTGATTCAGTCACCACAATGCACTGACTTATTTGAAGAACATAAGAAAAGCCCACTAATAGAAATTATAAAATGAACAGCAAAGTAAAGTAATATCTGAGATAAATGGCATACCGGACCAGCAGTTTTCCTATCAAGGGTGATGGCAAAGTACATCTCATTAGTAAGAGATAGTTTCTCACACAAGTAGACCTGCCGAAGAGAATGGAGAGTGTCAATCTCTAGAAATCTTCAACGTGCAAGGAAGTATTGCAAACTAAAAGTATGAGGCGACGACTTTCATACAGCATAGTCATAAGAACAAAATTATGTAGAACTATTTTGAAATGCATTGAGATCTTGTCTTGCATATTAAAAATAGTAAATATAAATCCATCCACAAGGTTAAAGAGAAATCCATAGAATGACAGAAACAATCAGATATCATGTACACAGTATGGCCTTAAAGGTACTATTCCCTTTCCCTACAACAAATGCATTCTTGGACATTTACACTGTCAAAAAGGTAGAAATTTTACTTCATTTTTTTTACAATGTTGAAATAATAAAAATTACATATTATAAAATTACTTTACATGAAAAATCTCGTAATATGAGAGTTACATTGTCAATCTACCTACTTCTTTATGTATTGCTGGTCGTAGCTAAACTTTGATGGGAACGGATCTTAAAACGGGTAATATTTACTATTAGAGGGACTACTTTTTATGACAGTATGGTGCAATCCTGCTGTTAGTATTTCACATGAACATAAGAATGGAGAATGAAGAGAAAATGGATACATATGGTACTTTATGTTTCATAGAAGAGTCTGAATTTCCTATTATAGACATACTAACTCAGGTGCAGAAGGGTCAAAACTTGGTAAATGAAAGATGGAGAACTCGCACAATGGAGAAAATTTGTAATGTTCTTAGCAGCTCAGCATAGAGTAAAAGAAAGTAATGGGTACAAACACAAACAGACTAAGAATGAAGAAATAGTATAGCAAGTTTTACAGAGAGGAAATGAACTAACAGGAAAACACACCAACAGACCAAGAGCAAACAAGTCATGAAGCCAATCACGGTTCAAACAGAAACATATAAAAGCAAAAGATGGCCTCAATTAGTAAGTTCTAACCTTGCTCACAATCTTTCCCTCTGGACCAGTTTGTTTCGTTACCAGAATCTGGCCTAACATTTTACCTGCAGTACCAGTACGACTCATTCAGAGATTAAAATACATACACGAAACATGACTGACTTGCACAACTAATAGCAGAACCTAACGTGGGAGGAATAACCCACATGAAACCAATCAACCAATCACAATGAATAAACAATCTTAAATTCTGCAATAAATGTGTGAACACAGAGATCTATCCACGCAGCAATATTCCTGATACAGATCCACTTAGTTAAACAAGAAAGTAGTCCTGCACGCTTCATCATACAAGTAGAGTTCATGGTGGCAAAATTCAGCACCGGACAATTCAAAATAAAATTAGTGTATGAGAACAGAAATTAAGTATGTGCTTGTCCTTCACGTGCGTAGAAAGTAAAATTGGCCTTCTATGTTTTTTTATTTTTTTTATTTTTTTGGCTTTAATCATAAACAAGGGAATGCTAATTGTAATGACAAATAAGTGTCATTATCACAAATAGCTACAGCTGATGGGCAAGAAATCTAAGAAATTCTAGGAAGAAGTGCTACATAATGAATTTCTGTTCTTGCTATAGTACACACTTACTTGCAATCGATTCAGCTTCCTCAGCCTTAACAATATGGACACCACCTTGCAGCCCACTTTTGAAAGTTCCCAGCCCACGGCCACCAGCAAGGATTTGACTTTTAACAACTATCTGCAATGAGAACACCTCTAGTATGAAACTGTGACTAAATTGCAATGTGCAAACTATAAAATGTCTAATTTTACCTTAGATTACAAGCAAGATACATACTGCTTAATTATACACGGAACTTTTTTTCACAAGCATGCATACATCAAAAAGGTCAGAAATATAGCACATAGCATTTTCATAATAAAAAAACAGGCATACATCAGAAAAGGTCAGAAATATTGCACATAGCATTGAGCAGAAGCAGTATGATAATGTTACATATGGCATGGAAGGTTGTGTCATAACTCCATTTGCATCTAAGATAAATGTGATTGTTTTATGCCAAAAATAAAATACGGTTTATACCCACCAACTATGAAAATTGTCTTGCAAAACAATAGCCCCTTGACCACATAAAACCAACTTAATTCCAGCACCCGTAAAAGGAAAATTCAATCATAAATTGATAACAATGCAATCACAACTCAGCATAAGTTCTAAGTAAACTACATTCTTCTGGGTGTAGAATCACCATGACTGTCACACCCAAGCCGTGGACGACTTGCATTTTGGATCACGGGGTGATAAGATGAACATAATCATGGGTCGAATAACAGAAGATGAGGAAGCTGTGGCGTCATCACCTCTTTCTCGCTGGGGAAGATGTTCTTCAAGGCGTCCTTGACCTCCTGTACGGACCCAGCCGGCGCGCCCCTGGGCACGTTGATACCGTACTTCCCCATCAACTCCGCGCCCTGCAGACCCAACAATCCACAAACCCGAATCCATCAGCCATAGCCTCCAAAACAGCACCAATAAATCCCGCACGATACGAGAAAATGGGAGGGCGAAGTGTCGGATCTGGAAGCGCTGGGCACCTGGTACTCGTGGATGTTGAGGCGGCGGAGCTGCTGGTGCTGCCATCTCCCGGCGACGGAGAGGGCGCGCGACGCAAGCTTGCCGAGCGATCCGCGAACCATGGCTGTGGCGACCTAGGCGGCGATGCTCCTCCGATCCGGAAACCCTACAAGCGTGGAAGACGCCTCTTTCGATTTGTGTTTCCCCCTTTCTTTTCACTCGATTTTCTCTCTCGTTTCCTTTCTTGAGGGGGGCCCGGGCCCGGTGTAGACTAGTACACGTGGAAGTTTTCACTGGCTGATATGTGGGTTCCGTCAACGTGGGGTGCATGTGTCAGTGTCATTGGTTAAGACAGGAGGGATAATAAAAAGCGAGAACGAGCTGTTCAGGTTTGGACTAGAGCATCTACAAGAGTATCAAAACATTCTTCCCAAAATCATTTCCAAGTCACCAAAAGAGCAGCAAACGAGTGTTTCTCCTATGGTTTCTAAAAAACATTCCTAAAAAATCAAAAAAACGATCGGTCAGAAGTTCAGAGCAGCACGATTCAAAATCCAGAGTCTGTTCATCTTTTTGCTCTTGGTTCACCGTTGCGCAGATTAGAGCAAGGTCCAGTTCCAGAAAATTTTATCAAAATTTTTAAATTTTTCATCACATCGAATCTTTAGACGCATGCATAAAGCATTAAATATAAATAAAAAATAAAACTAATTACACAGTTTAAACGAAATTCACGAGACGAATCTTTTAAGCCTAATTAGATTATGATTGAACACTAATTATCAAATAACAACGAAAAGTGCTACATGGTGTATTTTGCAAAAAAAATCGCCATCTAAACAGGCAAGGTCAGCCATGGCTGTGCCGGTGATGCTTCTGCTGCTATGCGCAACGTGCAGGCTGACGCTCGGAATTACTGATGGTAACGTGTTTGATTTTGATTCACAGTCGTTGTTCCAGTGCGATCCTTTGGTGAAGTTTCTTGCCGCGATCTCTGATTGCTTTTCTGCCATGGAATGGAATCCAGGTCTACTCCCGAACGGCAACTTCGAGGGGTTCCCCCTGCCGTGTGCCGTCGCAGCTGCGCGGGACGCGGGTGTTGGGCGCGTCGGCGATCCTGTCGAGGTTTGTGGAGTACGAGCGCCTTTGGTTCCCGCTTGAGTCGCTGCCGCCGGGAGGGAGTGTGGGCGCGCTGCGGGTGCAACCGATAAAACGACCTTGAGAACATCACTCAAAATACAGTCTCATTTCACGGCTAGATAACGCTATACATAAAGAATTCAATATTTATTTTTGTCTTCTCCAACAATAGAACCTGAAGAGAATCATTTCTGCGAATAAGTCTTCAGAAGAGAGAATACTTATATTTGGATTGTACCTCTGTTGTAACCCAAAATGGGTCTCGTATAAAGGTACTCTGTTGGAGGCTGATACGGTACCATCTCAGACCCATTTTGGGTTTGGTTGTCCATATAGGTCATCCATTGGAGATAGTCTGACTATTGGTGAGCTAGGGCGTGCGTTTTGAACTGCAGGCTGCGACGCGTGCCCAACCTGCGGCGAAGTGCGGCGGCGGCATTTGGCTCCCGGCTCCCGCAGCGTGCCGCATTTACAGCGTGGTGGTCTGTGGCGTGGTTTGGAAGCCATCCAAACATGCCCTACATCCCGTCGGGGCAGAAGCAGGGGGACAGGGTGCTGCTGGTGCCTGAGGGCACCTACGCCGCGGCTCGGGAACGAGGCGTCATCAGGTAGCGGCTCCGAGGTGCCGCCCGCGGTGCACGCTACTCGCTCATGTTCAGCACGACGTAGACATGCCCGCAGGCGAAGCCGCTGAACGTGTCCGTGGTGGGGCAGCCGGACGTGCGCAGGCCGAGCAGCCGGATGTGCTCGCAGGCGGAGCAGCTGAACATGGCCACATGTGCAGGGAAACCCTCCCATGAGAAGGATATGCGCGAGTGCGGCTCCACTGATTTATCCGCCCATGGGGATCTTTCTTTCCAGGTGCCAAAAGATTTGGAGGTTGGTTTGAGGGTAGTTAGAGATGAGTTTTTTTCAATCTTGCCAAAAGTCATGGATTGGGAGTCTTTTGGGTACTCTTGGAGATGCTCTTATATCACAAAATCGTCCATCCGTCGAGCAAGCGATCGCCCGCATCGTAGACCTAGACAACGTCTACTCCTTTCCCCTCCAAATACCACTTCCTGCATACCCAATACAAACACTTCTTAGAATGCCACCCGATAATGCTCGTCCCCGCGAGCCAGGCCCGGGTGTCTTGTGTGCGGCTCTTCCCGTCGCGAGATCCCACCTCCAATCAATCACGCGTCGTCAACCTTGCTCTCACGATCGCGCCGTCGCCCACGCCGTGGCTCCGCCACCTCCTCTCCCTCCCTGTCGTCGCCCCCGCGAAGCAGCGCCGAGAAGGAGAAGGCCTGCCAAGTTGGCGTGTGACCCTCTCCCGCCGCAACGCCGTTTCTCTGCCTTGCCCATCGCCAATCCGCGCTCGGCGCCAAGAAGGAAGGATCGCTGAGAAGGCCCACGTCGCACACACATTGTCAACCTTGGCGTTCGCGCCCACGCCATCGTCCTCACCCCCGATCTACGCCGACGGAGCGCCGAGAAGGCCCTCGCCCACACACGCCGTCGACCTCACCGTTCGTGCCTGCGCCGTCGTCCTCGCGCCCCACGATTGCCCACGCCGCCTCCTCTCCCTCCCTGCCGCGAAGTCGAGTTAAATATTTTTCAGCGTTTCTTTGGATCTTCAGATCCTATTTTGTTTGAGTAGAGGTTTCTTTTAATCTTCTAATTTGTTTTGGTTTTAGTACACGACTCACTGGAGCACATGACACATGTTTATAAAAAACATGCACATGAGACATCTGTTACACATTAGGCCGTGTTTGGCTCGGCTCTCCGGGGCTCCGGCTCCTCCATGCAGCGACTATGCAACCCTGTAGATCATTGTAGCGGCTAAAAAAACAGCTCCGGCTCCTATACAAATGAATGTGGATTGAGAAGGAGCTGCCGGAGCTACGTTTGTGGTGCTCTGCCGGCTCCGCCATAGTACCCGCACAGTGGCAGAACCGGAGCCGGCGCGAGCTCCACCAAACGCGCCAACACGAACATTGATGTCTTGATTTTGGTTTGACGATGGTCTTTAATTAGACGTCATATTGCTCACCATGGAGAAGGAAAAAATTATAAATACAAAAATGATGTTAAGAAATTAGAAACATGCAGGACTATAATTAAGAAATTACAAACATGCAGGGGTACAATACTATTTTAAGCGTATCATAGACAATATGTGGTAGAATATATATATGTAATGAAGATTGTTACGGTATGAACTGGATTGCTTTGATTTCACATCAAAACTTAAATTATATTCTAATTGTTTATGCTTCGTGAAAACTCATGTAATATTAATGATCGACTACAAACCGAATGTTACGAGCATCATGTAAAAAAATAACAGTACAACAAACATTCAAACTCAAATTACTGTGGCATTAGTTTTTTCATGTTGTGGTACAGAGGCATGATTCTAGTATATGTAGAGATATAGATTACTAACAAACATGCTAGCTATTTTTATTGGATTTAATTTGGCTTGGCCCAACCTTATATCTAATAAATTTCATGACCCATAATAAATGTTAGTGCAGTGAAGGATTAATCTCATATGAGAAATTAACAAAAGACTGACTCAACTTAAACAGGTAGGAACATGTTGTGGGTTTAAGAAAAGTGGAAGGCAGCTTCAAACTCAAAGCGTAGAAGCTTGGAACATGGTTCCCAAACAAGGAATGGGAATATCGAGCATCTTGGGCCATCGTTGTTCCAAGTTTGGGGACCTGACTGATAAGGATGACAATGCAAATAGTTATACCCCTTCGTATCATGGTTTTAGAAAATGGCATCCCACGTTCTTGGAACCTGCGGGTTCAGGGAACATGACTAATAAGGGTGATAATGCAAATAGGTATACTCCTTTGTACAATATTTTAAAAGTGACGTCTAGAACCTGCAGCTCAGGAACCTGATTGATAAGGGTGACATAGAAAAAAAATGCAAATAGGTATATCCCTTTGAACCATAAGCCTGTTCGTTTGGCTATGGCTTGTCGTAAACGATCGTAAATTTCCAGCCAGAACAGTATTTTTCTCTCACACAAACCAGCCAGCAGTATTTCTTCACGAACCAGCAACGAAACGAACCAGCAACCGAACAGGCTGCATGTGTTTTAAAAGTGATGCTCCGCGTTACTCGACCCTAACGTTCTGGGAAGCTGACTATGATAAGGGTGACGATACAAATAGCTATACCCATTTATACCGTAGTTTTTAAAAGTGAAGTATGATGTTCTTCGATCCCAACTTTACAAGAACCCGACTAAACCTGGGCGTTCTAAGAACCTCACTGCGAAAGGTAAGAGTGGGTTACGATGAACTTGAAAACATCTAGGCCCTAGTTGGCTTCGATGATTAATGACAATACGAGATTATTATGACTAGCGTGTGTTTTACAGAGGCAATTAAGTTAGGTCATGATAATGGTAATTGATTGAGCAATCATGGTTGTCATGCTCATACGATGGAAATCGTTTCGGTTTTCAAAGGATGGACGACAAGGCTAAGGATGGACTAGTTCTAAGTGTCACTTGGTATTGAAGAGACACTTAGAGTAGTTTAGGACTTTGTTTTTTTTTGGTCATATTATTAAAGGGGGTATGGACTAATAGTTTGACATAGGTGAGTCTAGTGGGTTAGATGTGGTGCACACTTGTCAAATCTAGCACTAGATAGCTCCGAAGCCCTAAGATCAATTGGAGCAAACTTCATTCACATATAATTTCGAGTTGAAAGTGAATGGATGGTCAAATGTTGACCGGACGCTGAACCGGTTGGGACCGAACACTAGTAGTAGAGTCCGGTCAGTTTATTTAATCAAGGAGAAGTCGTCTGGTTGCAACCGGACGCTGAGTGAAATGTGACCGGACGCTGGGTGCCAGAGTCCGGTCAACTCCAGTAAGGTTCCAGAGAGGGAGAATCCTGATCGGACGCGTCCGGTCAGTGCTGACTGGACGCTGATTAGGTTTCGGTTACTGACCGGACGCTGA